CCTGTTCATGATGCTTGTAAGCCGCAGAGGTATGAAACCTTCCAAGGGCGGAATTTAACTTTTAAATTACAACCTGTCCAAGGTAAACTGGCTTAATGACCAATTTGTGTCAAAGTTAGTCAACATTTGCATCATGCATTCATAATTGTATGGGTACATGGCTAAGACCAACCACGGATCTGTCGTTTTGCATTGTAACTAGTGAGATATCAAAATGAACGGAAGGAAAGGCTGCTTCATTCCAACATTTTCTGGTCGGAAATGAGCTTCGCTAGTTTATGAACGACTATGAAATGTATGCGTTACGATGACATATCTACTAACAAAATGAACACTCCCGACCAAAATGGCTCCTTTCAACCGATGTGGGCGTGCTTCTGCTCGAAGCGGGTTTTATAATTATAGGCTCACAACGCGACATTGTATTTTTAAGACTAAAAACCTAACGTCTTTTTACCGCCTGCAGGGATCCGTTGTGGGCGCCAAACAGTGCTGTGATGATCTTGACACGCGGTGCATCATCCTCTGACGGCCACGGGGCACTGGTCATAAGCTTGCAGGCTATGATGCCCATGTTCTTGCTGTAGCAAGGCATGGTGAAGAATCTCCTATGTAGCAAAGGAGGAAAAGGCAGACAATTCCGTCTGCTGATACAAGTTAACAAGGGCGGCACAACACAGTAAAGGCCGAGAAAGGTTAGTTAACTTCAGGTTCTTTATTCAGTTCTTAATTAGCTCACACATCGTTGCTGGTTTTGCAAAGTGATCCCCGCCTCTTTCAGACAAACTAAAGAAAGATTTCCTATATTTAGTATGTTCGCAGGACTAACAGAGCCTGCAGTTAACGATGCAATCCACTTATGATTTTTTTTCGCCATCTTCCGCATGAACACAAAAAATGTTGGAGTAAAGAGGGGCATTATCCAGACTTGATGCTAACTTTATAACATTTTGGAGCTGCATTGCGCATCAACACGTTTCATAGCCTTCCGTCAAGGCCTTCGTCTCTGGGATTTGTGTAACTGCAAAGCGACTGGACCGGAGACAACATGCACGAGTGGTGCAGCCACGTGGCCTTTTCTATCTTTTCAGGAATTTTTTGGTGTTTTTCTTTATGTTTTCGATTTTTGCTAAACCCTTGATCGTGAAAACTCAAGGTGCACAGTACCACGGTTTTGTTTGTTCTGGCCGCTATCCAAACACCGCAAAGAAACAGTTCTGCCATAACCATTGCAAGCTCCATTGGAAACTTCCGAAGGAAAACGTCAGCCGAACAGCGCCGCCCCTAGAGTCCCAAAATCTATTCCGAGATGAAACAAAGCAACCCAACTTTCCCAATTCATTGAATTTGAATTTCATTTCATGAGCAAAACTTGATCAGACAAATCTCATTAAATAAGTCTATACCACGTATAGCGCCGACCCCAACCTACCCGTTGCGGTCTTCTACAGGACACACTGTACGTAGTGGCTGTACCACGCCCCCTTCCTTGCCTCTAGAGAAATCTGCCAAGGCGTGCTCTATCACTGGAATCAGGTCCTCATACTTAAGGACATTGTCCACCTCTCGCGAGCTGATGAAAGGAATGAATGGCGATCTGGCTGAGGACATCATAGTTGTATCTGAGCGGCGGACAGGAGATTCGGGAGCTGGATTGAGACACACAAAATGGACCTGAAGAATAAATAGGCTAGGTGCCTGCTGGAACGTATTTTTTCTAAATAGTGTTGGGGGTAATCATAATAAAATGGGCGTATATATTAACAAATATGATCATAAATTGGGTACACGAACTTTTAAGTATAAGACACAACAAAACTGCCTTTCTGACTTGCATGGTAGCTCTGGTACAAGAGCCGAGGGTTTGAGTCTACATGTAGGTTTTTTTCTTGTTGGGAAATTAATTTTTATAATATAAAGTAGAGCCCGACATTTACCTTAGCAGTGGACAAGTGTCCACTAACCTGATCGAGCTTGAGGTTAACCACGCCCGTATATAGTAATCACCCCAACCTTACTAGGAAAAAAATTACGCCTGCTGGAAGGGTCCTCTTCGAGCCATCTGTCTGAGTTCAGTGGCGTGTGGCAAACAGTACAGTCACAGCATGTTATATCGATCAGCTAGCTTGAGCACTACGAATTTGACCCCCGTTTCTGTATCGTTGACTGGAAATTGATATGGTGGGTACACTTGAAGAAATACTGTAAAATTACACGATGTTTTCTCATTAAATATAACAGCTTGACACCGTATAATGTTGTGGCCTCACAACCTTTTATAGGTATGAACACAACATGTACAGGTAACAATTGTACCCCATTTATTGACTTCTTTTTATAGACAAAGCTTTAAATTCATACTGTTGGCAGTAAGATTTACGGCCAACTGCAATGACCTCTTATCTATTCCCACCTCTGCTCATGCTGAATAGCCTTGTTTAGTTGCTGTAAACGTGGGGGCTTCCTCTCATAGTCGGCCGGCCATCGGCTTAAAATACGGCTAAAAAAATTTTAGATGGCGTGTTTTGTTTAAAGCTGGCAACCATGCTAGAAATTATTACTATGGTCTAAAGTTCCAGAAACATCCGGGTGCAAAAATGACACTTGATCTTGAAGATTAAAAATCGAGGTCAAAAGGTCAGATGAGATCAAATTTCAGGGGTCTCCAGCTCGGTCTATATTCTTGTATAACGTGAAACTGGTCTCAAAATTCTGGCAAATAACCAAATTATTTTCTTCTTTGTATTTACCAAACTAAGTGGGACAATGGATAGTTCCGATGCATGCCGCAAACAGAATCCTGCACAATTAAAGCTTCATGAGTCCAGATGTGTCCCTGAACAGCTCTGTGATAGATTTTCCGCACCCTTCACCCAGTGAGAAATTTATGCTAATTAAAAATGTGTGACATATTAGATACATCCCTAGTGGCGAAAATACACACAGTAATAAAAGTTATGGGGATAGCCTAGTCTTTAGCGATCATAGTACACAAAACACTTCACAATACATATACAATTGGTAATGGAGAAAACTGAAATATCTCTTTGACGAGCCTATATTGTATTGAAATGTGGCTTCTTGTTAAAATATAAGTAGAACGACATAAGAAATGTAAAATTGACCTCATTTGATCCTCAGTATATTTGTTCTTCAAGGTCAAAGATCATTGTGGCAACTCGGTGAATCTTATACTTTAGATTGTACTAATACATTTTGTGTGACTGTTACCTTTGAAAATAAATAAGCAAGTTAACATTGGTGTTCACACATGTTTTGCGCAGGGCCGTGCGTTAAGGAGTAATTTGCAATCTTTTCATGTATTCTTTTATATTTCACTATCATTTTTCAAATCAAACCTCTGTAATTTGGTTATTTAGCATAACTTTGAGACAAACTTCACCTTATTTCAAAATATAGATCATGTTGGGGGCACCCTAAGATTTGACCTCATTTGACCTTAACTTTTGACCTTCAAGGTCAAGTGCAATTTTGGGAACGGGGCGTTCTAAAATCTTAGACTTTAGTGATACTTTCTAGCATAGTTGCCAGCTTTGAGCAAAAAATGCCATTTAAGTTCTTTTTTCAGGCTCTTGGCTGGCCAATAGCCAAAAAAATGTTCCAGCCAGAGTCTGGCCAATTCCCATAGGAATGTTTGCAAATATCTACCAGATAGCAGACATCAAGGATTGTTTACACAACGGCTGACTAGCTGCCCATGGCCTGTGATATGCCTGTGACCCATAAGCGACCTCTGTAAAGGCTGTCAGGCCTCTTGGAAGCTTTGTGGCCTTCCAGCACGTATGTTCGAGCCCCTCTCTTAGTTGGTGTGCATGCGCACTGAATCCCACTCAATACACTGCCAGAAGCCAGTAAAATGGCTCTTGACTCGGGCAGGTGGACCCCAAAAGTAATCGATCAACATCAACCTCAGATAAAGTTGTTTGCCCCTCATTTTCCTACCAATTACAATTTAAACACTCAAAGTCCCTTTTGCTAACTTTGCAAACTTTAAACATTTATTTTCTGCCGCATTTTTGCCCGTCTTTGTCACGTACCCCCGAAGTAACAGAGTCAGTAGCTGAAGTGTTAACATTTTAGGGGGGATTTTTTCAGTTTTGCCGGGTTTTCCCTGAAATTTCTTCACTTGTGAATGGTGAGGAATATCATGAACGCTCTAATGAGAAAGTAGGCCCCTATAATACAAGAAGGAAACCGTATGAATGAGAACGGAAAGTTTTTGTTTGTGCCTTTAGTCGGGCAATTTGAGGTGATTGTACGCATTCGTGCAATGCAGTAGGCCAACTCGTACCCAAACGTACTCATATCCAGGGGTGTGTACGAGTATGTGTGCACCATGCCCAATATTCGGACATCTCATTTTTGACCGTTGCCAAACTCAGCGCGGAAATTTGAACCCGCAATGAAAAACGCACCGCATTTCAGACAATGGCTCTCAATCTTGAAAAAAAATGGGCTGATACAAACAAATTGCAAACAAAAAATACAAACAAAAAATCAAGTGTGAAAATTGGGCACTAGTAAAAAAAAAAATCACGGAAAATGACGAAAATGGGTCCCAATGAAAAACGAGGTGAATTTCAAAAACAGTGCAACAATGCTCTGTCTTTGGCGGTCAAACAATAGAGGTATCTTTTTCCTGCCTCCACAGTCATACCGGTAAATCAGGTTTATAACACGTAATCCCCTCGTAGAGGCCCTGCCAATAAGAAGTATAATTTGCAACACAACCTAGTCACATATATGAATGTATAGCAAACACTGCAAAAATCATGGTGCTTAAAATCAACCTTTTTTGGTGTTATTAGACCACACCATAGGGTATTACTTTAACACCGATAGTGTTACTTGCACACCTATAAGTGTTACAATGCACTGGAGGATGTTACAAGAACCACCAAATGACACCAACTTTTTTTACACGAGTGAAAAGTGTTGGTGTAGTCCTCTGGTAACATCGGGGGGGGGGTAAATTTAACACCCTAGTTTTTGCAGTGTAGGCCCATGTACAGCGAGAAAGCAAACGAATATTGTGGCCAAACAGGGTAGCTGCGCAGACTTGTGTTCAGTCTGGGTCATTAATAATTCAGGAACGTGTAAATCATGCATTAAACATGCGCGCGGCAACCAATCAGAGGCGTGCGTAACCTTAGGTCTGGGCGCTGGCTGCGTGGGTTGCCAGAACTTCTCAAGATGGCAGCGTGCTAACAGAGCTCTGCGGAGTTGCGTTGTCTTCTTATCTGAGTTGTGAGTGCTAACTCTGACGTACGACTGCTGGTGGTTGGGGATCTACCTCAAGTGTGCTTGGTGCGATCGGTTAGTGTGGTACTTTTTCTCAGTTGCCGGAGCTGCCGATTATATCAGATCTTATTGAAGATTAGGGGATTGTTAGTCTCGTTTATTAAAGAAGTGGTAGATTATAGGGTTAGGGAACCCGTGTGAACCAGTTAATTGGGGAATTAGCGGAGCTTAGACTAGAAGGATTGCGTGCCGTTGTTCCATGCTTGTTGGCATAGCGACGGTTGGTTGCAGTCCTGGTCTGAGGTTTAGTGGGTGAAGGTTTCCGTTAGAGTCCGTTAAGGACTATTATAATCGCCTTCTTAATTAATCAACTTACCTGTGTTATTTCGTAATAACTTGAAGTGGGTGAGGGTTACTTAGTCTTCTTGAACCTTGTTGTAGTTTGGGAACTGTGTTGCTTCGTAAGGCAGTAGAGACTATTGTTATATAAGCCTACCCTGTCGTGCTGTATAATTACGAAGATTGTATTTGCCATTGGTAGATTATTTATTTAGACTGGAGGGTTACCTAGACATTGAGGGTTGCCCTGATCATCGTGAGGGTTACCCCTGGTGTAGGTTAAGGATAAGGTTGATTAATCACTTTCGTGGTGCAGTTGACCACGTAGGACTACCTCCCCGTGGGGATCATTTTGTATAAAGGATAA